TATAGGCCGACATTTCGGACTCATTGCAGAGTCCATCTTCAGAGCGATAACGGTCTCGACTGTTCAGCTGCCGTGACAATACTGACTGCCCCGCTCATTCCTTACCGCTATTTATACGTGCCGTGTCCTTGATGTAATGTTTCTCGACCAATGGGGATCGAGCGTATTGTCGTATCACATTGCTATTATAATTTGCTGCTGATTTTGTAAAGCCAGTTAAGTGTCTTTATAATATTCGTTTTATTAAAAAATTATTATTTCAAAAGAAAATAATTATAAAACAAATTTGGGTTAGGTTAGGGTAGGAATCAGGCTTTTCGATTTTCACCGTAAAGCCTACTGCAACATTTTGTTTATGTACGTTCATACGCTTTGCATGAACCCAAAATTTAAAAAAAAATTATTTTAAAAATGTTATGTCGTTTTTAAAGAAAAATATCTATTTTTTGCTTACAAAAATTACATACAAATTACTTACATGTCAATCGAATTAAAATTGATTGAGCTACATTACACAGAGTACAATATATTTTGAGAAAACGCGTTAGGCGTAACCTAACCTTACGCGTATAATGATATAATGTGGAAAAAAATACCTATATATAGTTGGATTCTATAGAACCAGGGGATTTTAACTAAAACTAAAAATGCTAGTTGTATATTATTATAATTTCTATGCGTTAAAATCTAATTGCATATAGTTTCATGTCTTTAGGGAAGAAACGACAAATGAAATTATTCTAAACACTACAACGATAGTGAAACACAAAGGTACCAAATAAGTATCCACTATAACTTATGTAAATATACAGTACCATCAAACGTGCAAGAAAATAGTTCAAACACATAAAAACACGAACAACCAAATGGAATACGTGTAAAAAGAAAACATACCTACTTGTTTGTAAAGACTGTGCGCTGAAAAACACACAAAAAAATTAAACACCACACCCATATCGGTTTGTAAATATGTTACCAACTAAAAAGAAATGTTCGATTTTCGAACTTGAATAATTATTATCAACTATGACAAATAACTAAAAACTTTTATAGTATATGTACTCAAATATTTAGGGGAAACGGAAAGGGCTATTTATTAAGTGTCCCTTAATAAATATGGGCAAATCCATTGCCCATAGATAGGAGATTTTTGACAAAAACTAATCTAGCTGCTATTTTAAATATGTCGCCTAATTTTAAGGAGAAAAAATATTAAGATTTTTCTAGTTACAAAACTTGTAAACATGATTTTCTCCGAGTTATAGCAAAAGTTTGATAAAAATTGATTTTATTGTATTATAAATATGAAAAATGTGACATTAATTATTTGGTAATTAAAATTTACAAATGTGATTAATTGTTTAGGAGGGAAGAAAGGGAAAACGGAAGATAAATCAAAGAACATTTGTAGCGGTGAGCAAAATACCAAAGTGAGCCGTATGTTTGATATTTTTGATATTTATTTTTGCAATTTATGAATAGTTATTAAGACCGAAAGCGGTAGTTATGTCAATTTGTATTATTTATATTAGAACAGCTGATGAGTACGGCAGTGACTGTTGCCGCTTGTCGACACCGCGGTTGAGATAAAAATTTAAAAAAAATTCTATTTCTTTGTTACATACACAGACAATAAATAATTGGTTTTCCACGCCCAGCTGACCAGCGGCCTTCAATATTATACAATAATGTTCTATCACACAACTACCGAAGAACCGACCGAGAATTGAAAATGGACAATTATTTCCAGGAGACCGAGATAAAAATAGAGGATGAAAATAAACAGTCAATAGAACAGCTTACCAAAGCCTCTGAGAACACAACCGACGGAGATGCCTATAAGTAATGTGATTTTTAAATTAAATATTTTAAACACATTCGAAAAGTAATATGAATAATATTTGGATATGATTCGGATTCTATGGCAAATTTATTAAGCGTTTGTAATATTTGTAAATGGTATAGAAGTATTTTAAATACTATCTGTTTATACCTGTTTACAAAACCGTAACGTTTAATCTGACTTTGTAATACCATGTGTTGTTAGAAATATGTTTTTTGTAAGGCCTTACGAATTCTTGGTTTTATACAACGAAACACTAAACAATTTAATTCAGCAACATGCTTAGTCACTCTTTATTCCACCCTAGTTCGATCAATTTTAGATTACGGCTCGACTGTTTGGATACTTTCCGTTCAAGTCAAGACTAAGTTAGTTGAACGAGTTCCTTAGTTACGCAGGTTTCTTACTGAAAATTAACCACCCCCAACATTGTTATGATCCGTCATGGATACTTTAAATCTCAGCTCACTCGGAAAAAGGCGTGTAAAAGCTGATCAAAACTTTTTAATTGATCTACTTCTTGGTAAAATTAATTCGCCCCGTCTCCTTGAACGTATAGGCCAAAGGGTCCCCCAGGCTAAATACCAGATCTCATGAGACATTTCATATACCTTCATTCCGTTCTAATTTCTTAATGAATGATCTCTTAATCAGATAGATCCCTTAATCAGATCTATGCGTTCCTTAAATTACAATAATTTTGATTTCTTGCCCTAAATTGTATTTTATATACTTTTAAATTGTTGTTATCTTCATATATATATATATATATATATATATATACTGTTTAATAATTATTAGCTGAACTGGCCAATATCTAAATTTAAAACTAAGCCAGTTGATAAGTAAAATAAACATTAATTGCAAGTTATAAATTAAAACCGAATTATATTCATTGTTGACTTAAAAGTGTGTGCAACTTACAGAATCGACCAATATTGTTTAAAAAAAATAAACCACTAACGTTTTAGCATCCGACTGACGCTAATAGTCTTACGTTTCAAATTTAGGTTGACATTTAATTAAATAACATGTATGCTTATTGTACACACACGAGACACATAGAACATTTTAGGTAAACCTATTTTTTTACAAAAGCTGCATGGCTCTTAACAGATATTTTTTAATTATATTTTTCAACATTAGTATAATCATATATATCAATTCGTATAAATCATAGTATACATATATATATATATATATCAATTCGTATAATAAATTGATAACTCCCTAAGATCTCTAGAAGTACAACAAAACTTTGTTGTTCGACTATGTCTGAATAAAAAGCACATGCAAAGCTCCACTATTTTAAATTATAAAGACTTTTAAGTACTCCCAGTTAGATCTTTGTACAAAGAATTTGCCATATTGCAAGAGTCGGTATAAATTAGTACTCCCCTAGAACCCAAGCGTGATCACTGATCCTAGAGCGTTTTACATAAGTCCTTGTTAGGTACACGAAAAAAGATTTCGGTAAACATTTTTTTGGACTACTTAGGTCCATCTATGTTTAACTCTTTGCCAATACGCATTAAAAATGTGTTTGTTAATCTTTATAATAAGAAAATTGCTCGAAAGTAGATATTCATTAGAAAAGCTATGATATTATATTATTTATTTTCATTTTATAATGTTAAAAATAAGGAAATAAATTTCTATTTTATGTTTTGTGAACGTTTTTAATTGTAAAAATGTTTGTTAATAGTAACTAATCTACCCCGACACAAACTATGCTTACTGGGTATAATAATCACAATTTGTTATATTTAATAACATTATTTTTTATTGTATACAAATTGTGATTCTCTTATAAAAAAAAAAAAATATTAGTCTGAACGAATAAGTCTGAACAACCTTTAAAGTGTTAATATTTAGTTGCCCCTTATTCAGGTAGGTGAATTAGTTTACATTTAAAAATAGCAAATAAAACGTTTGTTTATTTATTAAGAAATAATGATTTTTTTTTTTCAAGGATTCACATTATGTACTATTTTCCTCTATTGAATGAGTGAAATCTAAAAAAAATGTACAATTTGACTACAACAATATACATTAATACATCCATACAAGTTTTAAAATTAATAATTGAATTTTTCGTTGAATGCACGTGTCGTACACAAACGACTAAAGTTGGTCCTATATTTTTAAACAAATTTTTTATCTTTCGAGCATATTGAACTAAAGTTTCGATAATGTCCTGTGTCAATCAATAGGAAACTTCACCGTCATAAGGACACGGGTAAATATTGAGTTAAATAAGTGGAACTTTTAGGGCCACCCACTAGAACAGCTAGAGATCTTGGGGTATAACTTTTCGATAAAGTCCAAAATAAGGGACACCCTAGTATATATTCATTATATAATTATTTTTGAAGGTATAAATGTGTAACGCAACAGTTGATACTGATACTGTTTGATTAACTTAATGATAAGGTAAAAAATGATAAGAGGGTAGTTCTTTATATTATTATTATTGCGACAACTATTAATATGATATTCTAAACAACTGGTTATTTCATACTATTAAATAAAACAATATAAAAACAAATCTTTGTGATAAAATTGCTACTCGAGTGAACCGACTCTACAAAAAAGCTACAAATAGTAGGTACAGTAAAACAGATACATTTTTAGCTTTCCATATAGATCTTGACAAGTCCTCAAATGAAAATTATACCTTTATATAAAACTTAGTCTAATCAATGTTATATTCTAGAAATATTTTCCCTGTTGTGTTATCATTCACAATCAATCACAGATTAACATCAATTTTATTATTTTAAGCCTGTACTTGACTTTATATTTTCCAATTAGACAATATACACATAAAAAAATTACCTTTAACATTTTTTTAATTGTGATAAATGTTTCGAGACATAATAACAAACTGAGACTTTGTCGACGGATATGCAATTCTTTTGTAGGCCAGATTTGCACAAATGTTATTTACTATAATATTATGTAAAGTGTAACTTTATTTTGTATCTTCTAGTAAATTTATAAATAAAAACGGAAAAATAAATTAGACGTATTACACTGCAGGAGCTAACCAAGGGATTTCCCTCCATCTGTTCCAACATATTGCAACCTCTAAAATTACAGGAAACATAATACATATTTTGTAATCGAAATTAAAGGCAAACAGAAAAATGAATAATTTTAAAACTAATTTTTACACAGTATTTAATTAATAGAAAGTAATATTATAAGCGAATACCATATGATTTTAGAGTAACATCATTAAAAGCAATATTATAACAAAAACGTTTGATGTCTTTTCTGCCTTGACAATCAGATGCCATGTTTTCTTTGTGTAATATTATTACAATGAAGTTTTTTCAAAGTATTAACAAATACAAATAAATCACCAACAAAAAAATGTATAAATAATTTTAAGACTAAATTGAATTTATAAAAAGGTGTTATTAAAAAAAAATAGTATTATAATTGAATATCATAGGACTTAAGAGTAATATCATTGAAAGTAATGATATGACTAGTTGGGGATAATGGCTCTCCTACCCTGTCAACCAATTGCCATTGATTTTTTCCTTTGTCATATCTTTCACAATAAAGTTTTCCTTGATAATTCTCAAACACGAATAAGTCGTTTTTCATGATAACAACACCTGCATTTCATAATATTTATAGTAGAGTACAAAAATGGATTATATACTTGATTAAATGTATACAAACTTGAGCAATGTGAATTACAATCCATGTTCATTTCAGGCATTTCATCCCATTTGAAATGTTGTAAATCGAATTTAAAAACTCGTCGAAATGCATATTCACCACCAATGAGATAAACGACGTTATCTATTTTTGATATATTCATGTAATAATTTTGTATCGGCATAGGATCGAGTTGTTTCCAGTGTGTCTTTTCAAAATCATAGTACTCTACAGTTGCAAGAGGGCTACCATTATATCCGCCAAACTACACAAAACAATGAAACTTGATTAAAATGCTTACAAACCATAATAGCTTGTTAAATGAATATTTACTCATAGAATTGGTAAATTTTTTTGAAGTGTTCTTGCACAATAACTTCCATAATTGTTTTGCGTGTATTACAGTGTAGATTATAAATGTATCTTTTAGTTACTTTTAAATTAGTTTATCTAAAACATAAATAAGATACAAAACAAAATTTTCAATTAAAAAGACAATGTAAAATAAAAAGCTTACAATCGAATAAAACAAATCCCCGATTTTAAATAAAACTGTACCTGAAATGCTAAACGTGAAAAAAAAAAAAAAAAATAGATTAAATTCCTATCTCCTACATCGGTAGGAAATTTAGGTAGGTACATAATGTTGTCAGTTGTTGCCTTAGTGTTATCGATACGCCGCTACATTGGCCAAACAGAGATAAGATAATTTTAATGAGGTTGGAAAGCTTATTGAAATCTCTAAAAATAAGTCTTTTTTAAAAAAAGTTGGCACTGGGGTTTTGCGGCCACTACGAACCCCCCCCCCCCCCCTCATCCATTAAAGCTGCAATGTTTTCAAATATGAGCCGTCCCTTTTATAACTTTTATATTTTTTTCCTTAACAATCCAACACATATAGGTTTTCCAATTGAACATTAATAATTGTTGTAAATAGTTATTATTGTGTACATCTTGTTTAACAGATTACAGTAAAGTAGCTAGGTATAAAAAATGATTGTAAATTAGTATTTTTATGATCAGAATAGGTATGCATTTGAGCAGTTAACAAAACTGTACAAAACACGAAACACTTAATAATTAAATTTAAATTATTATTTATTTACTTCAATTTTTGAGTGACTTCAGTGGGTAACATTGTAACAATTAAACAATAAATGTCTATTTTATTTGTTTATTCGTAACGTCTACAATATTATAATACTTATACGTTAGGTAATACTAATTACCGTTTAAATCACAAAATGTTCATACAGACCTATTTATTATTATTATAATAACACGAGCAATAATATTGCTTATTATAGTCATAAACATTGGATAATCTATACTATTTTTTTTTTGTAGTTTGGCGGTTAATAATACGAGTACAAGACATTTAATACATAATGAATATTATGATAACAGATGATATTTAAAGCTCTTGTCTCTGTTATAACATCATACTGACAGAAATGCTGATTGCTGATTAAATTGCACTGTATTGTATGCATGCAGATCTACCAGTAAATTCTGCTTACCAAACATTTTTTTTTTACTGCACAAATTATTTGGTAAACTACGATAGATAGTTTTTTTTATAATATTCTCTACTGTCCGCTACTAAAGCGACTGACTTCGAGGTAAATT